AGGAATCCTTGCAATTTCCAGAACTAACAGAAATGTTCCCCCTGAGCACTCAAATGAAAAATCCACTGCTCAGAGAAAGACCAAGTAGCTTAAATGCAAGATACACTGCACTACTGTGACGATAAACCAAAGTGTTTTGTCTTCCCTCTACCCAGGGAACTGTTAAAAGTCTTAATCAGGAAACCATAACGTACAAGTAACATGGAAGTTTGAGGTATCTGTATGTTTGAAGTATCTATGGGTCCTTCCACTCTAAAAGAGTAAGAATGGCAATAAAATACTACACAAAACATAATCAATCACTGGCAGTCTCTACACAAAGACAGTGGGTCAGACCTTAAGCTGTTGTGCAAGAGTATTCAATACAAGGATAAAGCAAGGCATTAGCATTCCACAGCACTCAAATTTATGAGTTGAGACAAAGGGTAAGGCTCAGAACCATGCCATCAATAAATAAAGACTCCTGGTTTTCCATCCATTTTTTGGTTTTGAATTTCTAATGCTCAGGTTCCAGAAAGTGAACAACAGTTACAATTTGAAATCTAGAAAGACACGACTGCACTAGTCCCAACTACCCACTTTCCACCGTTCCGGCAGTTGGACCTTCGCCATGGTTAATAGAGGTCTCTATTTCCTTAGAGGGCTCAGCACAGCCCCGCTGAATCCCTGTCTCAGGTCTCCTCCTACATTTCAGGGATCCTAGCTCCTCTGGTCTCATCCACACAGCATTTCAGTTTATGTGCTCAGATGCAAATATACATCAAATCAAAACGTGTCTCATATCCAGAAGTTGTGAGCACAAACCTGTGGTGAAGCAACAGGCTTCAGAGAAACTTCAGGGAACCCAAGGAGATAAAGCTCCAGCAGCTGCATTCCCAGTGAGATTCAAGTATGCCCTACATGCAATACAGGCGCTTGACCATCCGCCACCAACTACTTCATCTCCCTTGCAGCATCATTGCTGGAGTGGTTCAATGCTGTCTGCCACAAAGCAGATGAGATTTACAGTCAGCCTCAGCTTGGCCTGCCCTTAGGCTACATGGATGGTCAGGGCCCGATTATCAGTACCCTAGATACATAATACAAATACGTACAAAGTGGTCAACCTCAGTCCACTTCCTCATCTGCCCTCGAGGTAACACGTATCATTAGTCTCCTCCCATTTTCATAAATGTCATTAAGCAGCAGAGCAGTGCCACACACATGGTATAGCCGTGGTACACAAAGGAGCAGCATCTGCCACCAACTGTGACACAAGAAGCACAGGGGCCTCCAGAACTAAATTACTGAGTTGCTGCCAGTTTGCACAGTTGCACATTTCTGTGAATTGTGTGTGAACTATTCTGTTAAATAATTTAAAAACGGAAAATTATTCTGTGGAACCGACACGTTTTTCAAATCTTCATGAAGTTGGCTAATGTATTTAAAAAGAACAAAAGAATATTGCTTTTATAAATATATTTTCAGATCTCAATGTTTCAGATTTTCCTTTGAAACTATTTTTAAAGATAGAAGTCTTGAAAACATGCAAAAACTGTGAAAATTACAATGAAAATGCAAACTCAAACTATTTCACTGACATGATTTGACTCAAAAACTTAGGTAATTTTAACAACATAAAAATCCATTTAAGAAACAGAAGGTTTTGAAATGCACAAGAAAGAATGAAATCACAACCTATCAAAAGGCATACAGTATACTGGGCCAGGATGAATAACTGTGTGTGTGTGTATAGCCACACACATCCAACTCATATCCAGAATAAGCTGAGAAACTAATAAAGCTCTCAAATACCAATAAAACAACATTCCAAAAGGAAACTTTAATTCAAGAAAGCAGCTATCATACCATAAGTACATCTGACCTCTCTTTACCAAACTTTTTTCAGCCTTGTCTGAACAATCTAGCCAGTAATCTTTATTCAAACCCACACATGGGTACAGAATAATTATTCAGACATACCCTCTCTATTTAATGAAGGCAGAGAAAGCAGTGCCTGCAATCATCCTAATTGCTGCTCACAACAGCCACTTCAACCCCCACTCAATCACAACTCTGTTATCCCTTTTGATCACCCAGATAAGTGCATATCCCTATTGTGACTGAGAGTAAAAGCAGAGAGAACCCAAGAAACATGGAGTTAGTACTGCTGCACTCCATGTTCAATAACTTCTCATTTTAAAGGATGAGCAGAGACAAGACAAGCGCTTGTCATTAGGAAAATGCAAGTGCTTATTACTAGAACAAAATGATTGTTCCTATGGATACATTATTATCCACACATCATAGTATAATTCTGCCATTGATAAGCTATCCAAATTCACAATAGTAATTCCTGTTACGTAATGTCCTGAAATGCAAACATATCCCTTAACAATATATGTCTATGAGTAAAATTCAGAGAGGATAACAATAGTACACAAATAATTCCAAAATACCAGAAGAAAAACTGCTGCCTTTCATAAGAATTATAAATATATTTGCAATTTACTGTATGTCTGAATTACTTTGCAAACAGAAAAAAACTTACAGCTTCTTGGGAGAGAAAGTGCATCTTTATTAGCATAGAGAACATTTTGCTTAACTTTATATTGTATCACCTCACTGTGATACAGCTCTGTGAAAATCAGCCACTTATATAAAAGGCAGTATCTGCTGAAAAGGTATTTCTCAGCTTGCAGTAAAAACTCTAAATTATATCACTGGCACCAACACGCCCTTGATTTCACTTGATGTCCTTAAGGCTTATTAGAGACTTGGAATACAAGAGGAAAAAAAAAAATTGTAGGAACCACAAAAGTTATATTCTTTACACTGTTTCAGATAGCTAGAGCTAAATCCTAAGTTCCTGTACATTTGTTTAGGCACTGAGGGCTAGTTTCAAAAACAAAAAACAAAAAAAAAAAAACCCAAAACAAAACAAAAAAATGATGCAGAAATTAAACAGAATTTAGGCACTCAAGTCCTTGGCAATGATCCTGTTAAAGCTAAAAGCTTACCAGGCAGGCCACATCCACCATCAGCACCAGACCCAGGGGCTTTAGAAAGACACTGGATGTTATCAGTGTCAGTGCAGATCATACAGCTGCTAGAGAAGGATTTGCGAAGGTGGCACCTACTGTGTGCGGTATCTCTGAAGCAGTGCAGTTCCCACCAGCGACACTCAAAGAAGGAAGCCTTAGGAAAACTAATCAAACCAATATACTAGCAAGAAATGACAGACATATCCAGAGAAAAATTCTCCAAGCAGCTGACTACTACAACTCTAAAGAAAGTGACTAAAAAGAACTGAAATGACAGTGGGTAGGCTATGTTTTGTGATCCATACACCATCAGGACGAAGACACGAGCAGAAGCATGCCCTTTGTGGACAGGGGGCAAGGAAAACCTACTCTCACGTACAAGCTCCGGGACAGAGCCTCTATGCCTCACTTTGGGCATAGGGCACAAATACACCATGAGAACATTCAGATAGGCTCACATGAAGTACTACATAGACTGTGCAATTGATCGTGGAGTACAACGGTGTTCCCAAGGAAAGGAGGGGAATCACAACCTAGTCCTTAAATTGTACTATGTTAACAAATGGCTGGCATAATTTTTACAGCTCATTCAACTCACAGTCCTAGCTTATTAAAATTATTAATAGAAGAGCCCAGAAGACAGTGATAAATCAGCATTGTCACCTGGATCTGTAATCTATTCTTCAGTGAGTTAGAGTTGTGAAATAAAGTAACTGACACCGAATAATCTTCTCATTGAAAAGCTTACTTAATCCAGTCTCAATAATAGCCATAAACTATTCCAGGTGAGAGTTTTCCCACTGAGATCAATATTAATTGTATAAGCAGATCAAGAGCCCTAAAAGAAACTAAAAACTTTAAATTAATTCCTGGCATTTAACCCTAGTGTAACACCTCATACCTTCAAATCTTTCATATTTCTTCCTTTCTGCTTCCCTCCTTGTCTTTGCCACCTTACAGACACTGTGTTCTGCAGCAAATTATACGACAGTTTCCCATTTTGCCATATTTAAAGAGCTGCTTCCTGACTTTCTCAAGTCAGTGAGCCGGGTTATGTATTCTTTTCTTTTAGTCTGTGTTATGTAACCTTAAAACCATGACTATTTCTGAAATAGAAAAGATAATCACAATTTTGTTTCAAAAGTCCAAGACCATTTGACTTACAATCATGTAGTTTTACTCCTGCAAGACACAGAATTCCCCTAAAGCGTTCTTAGGATAAACCCACAGTGACATTTTGGACTAATATGGGGTGCTATATGCCACATCGGCATCCTTCCACACACTCTAGCTACTACAGGTTGATGCCTTCCCTTACTAAACTTTCAGTCATTTAACAGCAAACCTGATCCACCCTAGAACATATATCACAACAGACACCTGCTACAAGAAGGTATCAAAGACTAACATTCCAAGCTAAACAGAGCTGAAGAAATCTCACATGTGTAAAGCACCACCAGAGAGGTTCAAGAATTACGCTGCATTCAACACAAGCTGCAGCTAAATTGTGAGTAAAAACATGAAAGCATCTTTATCTGGTATAGGGACTGAAAGAGCAAATTAAATTCACAGGAAATTAAATAAATCAGCTGTAAATGCCACCCATCTTGATAAATAAAAAGGAAATACCAACAAGTACAATATCTGTGAAATGAAAAAACATCTGATATGCATGGATTATCTTAGTCCCTACACTTCATTATCCTAACGACAATAGGATAAGAAAGAGAAAACAATCTCATTAGCACATCTTTATACTGGGTTAGCTAGTATGACTTGCAGAATAGAAAGGAATTTCAGCTTCCAAAAAAAGAAATAGCTGTGTCATACAATTATCCTCTCAGTGTGCTTGATGAATCATCTTGAACTTAGATAAGTACAGTATGCCATATAGTATTCTTTTCCTGTGGAAACGTTTTCCAAGACTGTGTACCTATATCAATAGTATCCGAGTCTCCACTGTTTTATCAATTAACTGCCAGACATAAGAAGTGACAAACCCATTCTTTAAATCTAATTGTTATTTCTAACACACAATCAAACTATATTCCTTTTCAAAACTTAACAGATGAATTGGCCTACAAGCATGCCAGACAACCAGGTTTCTGGATTTACTGAACAGTCCTAGCTTTCTAATGTAGCAATTAAAGTCATCTCTACACTTGCAACTTGGTGCTCTTACACAGATCAAATATAGTGGTATGAACACTCTATTTTAGAATTCTATTAACAGATTAGTTACACTTTAACAAATTATTATTTAAATTGTTGCATTCTACAGGAACATTTTAAAACTCCTGTCTAGGAAGTGAAATTATGAAGAAACTCTTGTTCCTAGCATATGAAGGTTTATGTCTATTCTGTACTAGCGACAGGTCACAATAAGCATAAAATAATCTAAACTTGTGCATGTTGCATCTGTAATACAGCATTTTTTACAGACTGTATGGTAGAATATGATTCTTACTATTTCTGGAGATCTGTATTTAGCTTTTGCTTGGATTTATATAGAAAAATGTTCCTTTCAACCTTTTAAAGAGCATGTTGAAAAATACAGGTTAAACTCTAATTTACACTAACTATAGGTTAAATTCTAATACTAGAAACAAATTGTAATACACCTACCAAAATGATGTCTCCTTGGGTCCCCATTAAAGATGGAATTTGTTGGTTGTCTTTTGCAGCTTTAATATGACCTCTGGCCTCATTTAACTGCTCTTCCACAGATTCCCAATTATGCCAATTTTCACAAGCCCAATCTTCTGAGAATTTAGGAATTGGATTTATTCCATGTTTTTTGTAAGTAATCAGTGATACTACTTGCCATCCTGCTGACTATACCAATTTGTCATGAATGGATAATTTAGGCCACTTAAAGAATCACCGCCAAAGATAACAGAGCGCGAATGATTTTAATATAAATTTGTAGAGAGCGCAACTTAACAGAATCCGATGGCAAGGTTCACTCTATTACTTATTCAACAGGGAAAAGGTATACAGAGAGAAACCAAATTACTATTACACTGGAATGATTTACTCTTGTGTCAAATCAAGTTAATGTGTATATTGAGGAAAGTAGGGGAGACCCTCCCATTGAGTCACGAGGTTCAGAGTGGACCAAAATCCACCCCTAGTCCCAGACTTGGTCAATGGTTTGTGACTAAGGCTAGGTAAAGAAAGTAAAGGAATGCCCTCCCGTTGAGTCACGAGGTTCAGAGTGGACCCCCTTGCTTTCTAAACTCCTTCTCAGAGAAGGATCTAGGTGCGGCTGAATCCACTCCTAGTCCCAGACTTGGTCAACGGTTTATGACTAAAGGGATAGGGTATCGGGGATTCTGTTGTAGTGGTATATGTTCTGCTTGGTGTAACTTTAGGATGGCAACAATTTAATACAAAATAACAGCGATCAAATTCACTAATGATATCGAGATAAAAATCACAATACCGAATTATATAAAGCTTAGCAGCATAATCAACTTAAACTTACTAAGATTCCTTAATCACACACACATATAGATGTAGAGGTAGAGAAAAGAGATAGATATCTACAAAGGTACCTATTAAATATCCCCCTCGAATTCAGTCAAATACTCACATCGAATGCTTTGCGTTGCTCAACAGGTGCACAGTCAAGCCTCTGAGCTGATCACAAACTGAGAGGCGTCCCACTCAGAGGGAGGTGCTGGTCACAGCCCGCTGTGGTCCAGGAGAGCTCAAAAGGTCTCACTTGGGACCACTATTTATAGGACTGGGAGATGACTGACTTCAGCCATCAGTGAGTTTCCACAATCCAGGCAGGTGATTTCTCAAGTTTTAACACTACCACTGCCAGGACTGTCCGGAGATAATTGATCAGTTCTGTTCTTGTTCTGTACCTTGTTTAGGTAATCTGTTCCTGATACACTCAGTGCCATTCTCCTCCTTGGCCACACAAGAGTGCTTGGTACAGCTGAGGGGCTCTCAACCACCAAACACTTTATTCAGAGGCCAAGATTTGTCAGGCAACTTAGAGCCGCCCAGGTACAAGGCAAAGGCAGCAGGGGGGCATGCACCACCACAACATTAAAATAGGCTTTGAGAAAGACATTGAAAAAAGGAAAAAAAAGTCTGTTACCTACATTGTTTATGTATTCAGAAAGCAAGTCTTGGAGAGCTTGGCGGATAGCATTGCATTCAGCAATAATGCGTTCTCGATGAAAATCGCGCGTGCAAGAAGAATCAGCTAGCAAAGCCGCTCCACTGATAATAGCTTCCAGGCGTTTCTCTAGTGATGGCCTTATTTTCTCTTCATTTACTACAAGAGGATCCAGGATAATTAAATTCTGGAAAACATTAGGAGTACAGGTAAGAAAAAAGTCAGTCCAATTAAGTTGCTGCTTTATTTTCCTACTTGCATGAACTACTGTGATACTATGCTTCCAGGACTTACAGCTAGCCCTTTCCCCTTGAAGTACCTAAACTGCTTTTGACCATGGCAGATTGTGTTTTCCCTGCTGGAGCTATGCATACAGGTCATTTGCAGACAAAGCCAAGTTCTCTCTGCCATTCAGATCTCACTAGTTATAAGCCAATACCCACGTTAGCAAATCCTACTGGCCTGGACCCAGTGCTAAGACGACAACAGAGCTTTCCAGCCAGAGCTGGTTCACACCTAAGCACCTCACAGAACAATTAAAACAAGATCACATCTACCTGCAGGCCATGTTGACATCTTCTGACTACACCTGCCTTGTCTCTGATTCCTTCCTCTGTTTCCTGCTTTTGCTGCATGAGATTTAAGATTTTCATCCTTGGTTTCAGTCTGCACCTGTATCTGGCATTTCTTCTTCTACAAGGCATTTCAATTCTCCTGGAAACAGAAATGCTATTTATCTACCTATACCAATATGCACGCATTCTTATCACTGCAATATCTGTTTGGTCTATCAACCTTCACAACATCCTGCTCTACAATGGAAAACTATCAACCTCATTTTATAAACAAAGAACTGAGGCCCAGACTGCCAGGATCATGGCCATAGAGAAGGTATGTCTTAAAACAGGCAACTGCATGCCATCTTCCCTAGTTCTCAGCCAGCATTGTTTCCCCTCTTCGAGTTTTGTCAGTGTGGTTGTAAAAAAAGTATTTCTTCTTTCAAACTCTT